ACTAGTTAGGATTTATTATTTTAAGATTAAGATTAGTATTTCTGGGTTTATAGTCAGTGGGTGAGTGAATGTAATTATGAACCACCAGGTGGTTATCATGTAGTTAGTTGACAGGGTGTATCAGAGAGATAAGATGTTTTCTAACTGTAGTTTTGAAAGTGATGAATGTGTCTGCAGTTCTAGAGTTTTCAGGTAGGGTGTTCCAGATTTTAGGTCCTTTGAAATACATTGAATTTTTATAAAGGTTTAGTTGAACACGGGGAATGTCATAGAGATGTTTGTGTCTGGTGTTATGCCTGTGGATCCTGTCACAACTATCAAGAAAGCATTTTAGGTCAAGGTTAATATTGGAATTTAAGGCCCTGTAGATATAGATTGCACAGTAGCAAGTGTGGATGTTCTGAACAGGGAGTAAGTTTAGATCTATGAAGAGTGGGGGGGGATGTGTTGCCAGGGATGGGATTTAGTGAGGCGAGGTGAGTATTATTTATTATAGTAAGTCATGTGTGGTAGATGTGGTAGATGTGGTAGCCCGTCTAGTGACCACACGTCACAATTATGCTATTTATTTTGCTATAATTGTATATATTTTCTTTTTTTCACAACTACCCTTAGATGCCATCGTAAATGAGAGAATGAGAAAGACATGGAGACTGTAAACAAACTGAGAGTGAACAGATGGTGGGCTGCCCGATGAACACGGTTCATATACGTTCATCCAATACATCATTTTTTAGAGCGAATGATGCTATGAGTGAAGGGATATGAAAGGAATATTTTTCTACAGTTACCACACAGTAATACTATACTGTACACAGCTTCTCTGGTGTTGGATTTGAGAAAACTTAATTCTTGTCATCACTCCTACAAACCGCCAGGCTACCATATCTCACATTTATGTCAATTTGTTCTACTGTTGGTGTATGTAGCGTGTTTCTTATATAATTTTGAAAAAAATATCATAGATGGATTAATGAAAATGCTATATTAATGTAATATATGACATCTAAAGAGCTCCAGTGATTATTATTATTATTATTATTATTATTAATTATTATTATGGCATCATCAACACTACTGAGGCACTCTTAGTGATTTTAATGTGTACATGCACATCAGCACAGTTTATAAGTTTATTTAAGTATAGGTACACATAAGTACAATTATATCAGAGCATATATAAAATATAGTAGTAGGTTGGTAGACAGCAACCACCCAGGGAGGTACTACCGTCCTGCCAAGTGAGTGTAAAACGAAGCCTGTGATTGTTTTACATGATGGTAGGATTGCTGATGTCTTTTGTCTGTCTCATAAATATGCAAGATTACAGGCATGTCTTGCTACTTCTACTTACACTTAGGTCACACTACACATACATGTACACATTTATTTATACACACTCATCTGAGTTTTCTTTGATTTTATCTTAATAGTTCTTGGTCTTATTAATTTTCCTTTTATATCCATGGGGAAGTGGAATAAGAATCTTTCCTCCGTAAGCCATGCGTGTTGTAAAAGTCAACTAAAATGCCGGGAACAATGGCTAGTAAACCCCTTTTCCTGTAAAGATTACTAAAAAGAATAAGAAGAAGAAATTTGTCAAAGTGGGAAGTCTGAATGTGCATGGATGTTGTGCAGATGATAAGAAAGAGATGATTGTGGATGTTATGAATGAGAAGAAGCTGGATGTCCTGGCTTTAAGTGAAACAAAGCTGAAGGGGGTGGAGAGTTTCAGTGGAGAGGAATAAATGGGATTAGGTCAGGGGTTTCAAATAGAGTTAGAGCTAAAGAAGGAGTAGCAATAATGTTGAAGGATAAGCTATGGCAGGAAAAGAGGGACTATAAATGTATTAATTCAAGGATTATGTGGAGTAAAATAAAGATTGGATGTGAAAAGTGGGTTATAATAAGCGTGTATGCACCTGGAGAAGAGAGAAGTGTAGAGGAGAGAGAGAGATTTTGGGAAATGTTGAGTGAATGCGTGGGGAGTTTTGAATCAAGTGTGAGAGTAATGGTGGTTGGGGATTTCAATGCTAAAGTGGGTAAAAATGTTATGGAAGGAGTAGTAGGTAAATTTGGGGTGCCAGGGGTAAATGTAAATGGGGAGCCTTTAATTGAGCTATGTGTAGAAAGAAATTTGGTAATAAGTAATACATATTTATGAAAAAGAGGATAAATAAATATACAAGGTATGATGTAGCACGTAATGAAAGTAGTTTATTAGATTATGTATTGGTGGATAAAAGGTTGATGGGTAGGCTCCAGGATGTACATGTTTATAGAGGGGCAACTGATATATCGGATCATTATTAAGTTGTAGCTACAGTTAGAGTAAGAGGTAGATGGGAAAAGAGGAAGCTGGCAACAACAAGTAAGAGGGAGGTGAAAGTGTATAAACTAAGGGAGGAGGAAGTTCGGGTGAGATATAAGCGACTATTGGCAGAAAGGTGGGCTAGTGCAAAGATGAGTAGTGGGGGGGTTGAAGAGGGTTGGAATAGTTTTAAAAATGCAGTATTAGAATGTGGGGCAGAAGTTTGTGGTTATAGGAGGTTGGGGGCAGGAGGAAAGAGGAGTGATTGGTGGAATGATGAAGTAAAGGGTGTGATAAAAGAGAAAAAGGTAGCTTATGAGAGGTTTTTACAAAGCAGAAGTGTTATAAGAAGAGCAGAGTATATGGAGAGTAAAAGAAAGGTAAAGAGAGTGGTGAGAGAGTGCAAAAGGAGAGCAGATGATAGAGTGGGAGAGGCACTGTCAAGAAATTTTAATGAAAATAAGAAAAAATTTTGGAGTGAGTTAAACAAGTTAAGAAAGCCTAGGGAAAATATGGATTTGTCAGTTAAAAACAGAGTAGGGGAGTTAGTAGATGGGGAGATGGAGGTATTGGGTAGATGGCGAGAATATTTTGAGGAACTTTTAAATGTTAAGGAAGAAACAGAGGCAGTAATTTCATGCACTGGTCAGGGAGGTATACCATCTTTTAGGAGTGAAGAAGAGCAGAATGTAAGTGTGGGGAGGTACGTGAGGCATTACGTAAAATGAAAGGGGGTAAAGCAGCTGGAACTGATGGATCATGACAGAAATGTTAAAAGCAGGGGGGGATATAGTGTTGGAGTGGTTGGTACTTTTGTTTAATAAATGTCTGAAAGAGGGAAGGTACCTAGGGATTGGCAGAGAGCATGTATAGTCCCTTTATATAAAGGGAAAGGGGACAAAAGAGACTGTAAAAATTATAGAGGAATAAGCTTACTGAGTATACCAGGAAAAGTGTACGGTAGGGTTATAATTGAAAGAATTAGAGGTAAGACAGAATGTAGGATTGCGGATGAGCAAGGAGGTTTTAGAGTGGGTAGGGGATGTGTAGATCAGGTGTTTACATTGAAGCATATATGTGAACAGTATTTAGATAAAGATAGGGAAGTTTTTATTGCATTTATGGATTGCTGTAAAGAGTTTTTATGAGGATAGTGAGGCTCAGGTTAGGGTGTGTAGAAGAGAGGGAGACTACTTCCCGGTAAAAGTAGGTCTTAGACAGGGATGTGTAATGTCACCATGGTTGTTAATTATATTTATAGATGGGGTTGTAAAGGAAGTAAATGCTAGGGTGTTTGGGAGAGGGGTGGGATTAAATTATGGGGAATCAAATTCAAAATGGGAATTGACACAGTTACTTTTTGCTGATGATACTGTGCTTATGGGAGATTCTAAAGAAAAATTGCAAAGGTTAGTGGATGAGTTTGGGAATGTGTGTAAAGGTAGAAAGTTGAAAGTGAACATAGAAAAGAATAAGGTGATGAGGGTGTCAAATGATTTAGATAAAGAAAAATTGGATATCAAATTGGGGAGGAGGAGTATGGAAGAAGTGAATGTTTTCAGATACTTGGGAGTTGACGTGTCGGCGGATGGATTTATGAAGGATGAGGTTAATCATAGAATTGATGAGGGAAAAAAGGTGAGTGGTGCGTTGAGGTATATGTGGAGTCAAAAAACGTTATCTATGGAGCAAAGAAGGGAATGTATGAAAGTATAGTAGTACCAACACTCTTATATGGGTGTGAAGCTTGGGTGGTAAATGCAGCAGCGAGGAGACGGTTGGAGGCAGTGGAGATGTCCTGTTTAAGGGCAATGTGTGGTGTAAATATTATGCAGAAAATTCGGAGTGTGGAAATTAGGAGAAGGTGTGGAGTTAATAAAAGTATTAGTCAGAGGGCAGAAGAGGGGTTGTTGAGGTGGTTTGGTCATTTAGAGAGAATGGATCAAAGTAGAATGACATGGAAAGCATATAAATCTATAGGGGAAGGAAGGCGGGGTAGGGGTCGTCCTCGAAAGGGTTGGAGAGAGGGGGTAAAGGAGGTTTTGTGGGTAAGGGGCTTGGACTTCCAGCAAGCGTGCGTGAGCGTGTTAGATAGGAGTGAATGGAGACGAATGGTACTTGGGACCTGACGATCTGTTGGAGTGTGAGCAGGGTAATATTTAGTGAAGGGATTCAGGGAAACCGGTTATTTTCATATAGTCGGACTTGAGTCCTGGAAATGGGAAGTACAATGCCTGCACTTTAAAGGAGGGGTTTGGGATATTGGCAGTTTGGAGGGGTATGTTGTGTATCTTTATATGTGTATGCTTCTAGACTGTTGTATTCTGAGCACCTCTGCAAAAACAGTGATAATGTGCGAGTGTGGTGAAAGTGTTGAATGATGATGAAAGTATTTTCTTTTTGGGGATTTTCTTTCTTTTTTGGGTCACCCTGCCTCGGTGGGAGACGGCCGACTTGTTGAAAAAAAAAAAAAAAATATATAAAATATGCAACAACTTTAAAACACTTGAAACTTTGGAGTTCCCAGACATAATCGACAGACGCGGAGCTCACGAAGGATGTAAACAAAGAGTGGCATGCACACACCATAATAGTGAATCAGGGAGCCACATAAATGAATTTTTGGTTGTAATTTGAAATGTATGTATTAGAGAAGTGCCATAGAGCAGAGCCCTCCTGGGGAACTTACCTTTATTCTCTCTTGTACACTCTTCGTTATACCAGGAAGTCCTCCAACGTGAGCAGCTTTCTTTTTTCTTATGTTCCTGGCTCTCAGAGCATTGATGAGTGATGACTTTCCAACATTTGGTATACCAATAACCATCATCTGATATTCTCTCTCTTCAGAGCGGTGGTAACGTTCAGATTTCTGTACCAGTGAGGAGACCCTAGGAATTATTCTTCTTATACCATAACTTTCAGGCCTCTTGCAGTTAGTGAATAATATGTCCTTCACTCCTTGATTTTTGTAATAGCTTACAATACTATCTTTCTCTCTCAGGTCAGCAAGATCCATTTTATTTAAAATAAGAATGTGAGGTTTGAGAGATGATAGACCTAACTTAGTTTCGAATAAGGGGTTTCTTCCCGATATTGGAATTCTTGCATCATGTACCTCTATTAAACAATCTACACTTTTTAGCTTCCGCTGCATCTGGTTCATTCCTTTTGCCATGTGTCCTGGGAACCAATGAGCAAGATCGTGGTTTTTTATATTAAAATGCTCTCGCATTCGTAATCCATGTCTGACAACGAAGGTAGCCATTTTTTTTAACACTTTGTTGTATCTTTCAATCCAATGTACAGAATCTCAAAATGTTATGTAACTGATATAACTGCTGTGATATAGGCTTTTCAGTACTGTATACACTGGACCTTAACATATTGTCATCACAGGCAAAGATCATTGTAGAAAAATATAATTAAATTCAAAAGCTGAACGTTTTAATCTATAAATAATTCTCCAGATACAGTTCCAGATCAGAAGTCAACACCTGAATTTTTTTTTTCATTCTTGATCTTCACAGACATTTAAGACAGGATCAGTAGCCTCGAATAAATATCCATATGGTCCACTTCTCATTGCCAGATCCTTCGCTGTCTCACCATTGCTATTGGTCAGGAGTGGCTTCACCATGCGATTCATCAACAACACTGAAGAGTTTGGTGCGCTTGAGGATTAACAGCAGCAACATGGAGAGGTGTTTGTCCACTGTTAGTAACAGCATTAATGTCACTCCCACCTTCGATTAAAATCACAGCGCAATCATAGTGATTCCAACGACAAGCTGAGTGAAGAGCAGTCCAGCGTCCACAGTCTTTGCAGTCACTGAAGCATCAGCACTCAAAAGTAGCTGTAAATACATTGCATTACTTAAATATTTTAATATCTAATTAATAATACTCTTGACAGGTCAAAAACATTATACAGTGGACCCCCGCATAACGATTACCTCCAAATGCGACCAATTATGTAAGTGTATTTATGTAAGTGCGTTTGTACGTGTATGTTTGGGGGTCTGAAATGGACTAATCTACTTCACAATATTCCTTATGGGAATAAATTCAGTCAGTACTGGCACCTGAACATACTTATGGAGTGAAAAAATATCGTTAACCGGGGGTCCACTGTATCTGTAAGCTACCCATAATCAGTATGAGATCAAGTTTCCCTGGTCATTTATTTTATGTTTTATGAACCTAACTTCCATTATAATATCAATACAGATCTATGATTTTAATTTTTACTTATCCTCCTTTTTCACATAAAGAGAGCAATCCAAATTTACAAGAGTTGCCTTCCTTGTGTTTCAATTTCCAATTATTTTGTATTCATTAAAATTAAGTATACAAAAGATGGTCATGCTTTACACGCAGTATCCATTTGTACAGCCACATTTCAAAATTGGGACTTGCTGTATACAAGAAAGGTGTCCTTTATGAAGGAATTCAAGAAAACTTGTTACCTGAACTTAAGGACTCTGGAGGTGGGAAGTACAATGTCTGCATTCTGATGGGTATGGATTTAAAAATCTTATTTTACCTTAACAATGTCTGGAAAATCACTGTACGCAGCCCGATGCAATGGAGTGTACCCATCACTGTCTGTTGCACCTACAGCTTCTGGATGCTCCTTTAAGATTTCCTCAACAACACTCTGCTTGCCATTTTCACAGGCCCACAAGATTTCACGCTCAGGCGTTGCTACAAAATGTAAATAAAAATCACATGTAATGATAATCATTGCACAGCACTGTACAGTACTAACAACCAGTCATGCTTTTTTCATAATTATGTCATGCCCTCAAGCTAATATCAATAATACTACAACTTTTTTTTAAGGTTTTAAGGAAATACTGAAGCTCAATGATTTTGCTGAGAGAAGTCTCCTTCTTCACTCCATTCCTCTCTGCTTTGTGTTCTTACACACACACGTATTTACAAAACTGAGAAACAAAGACTGGTAAGAGGTACAGAGTGACAAGTGGAAGACATTCTTAACTTTTCATATATTAATAGTGCAATGAAAAGCAACTCATGTAAAATGTGCCAAATACAGTATGTGCTGCTGAAAGCATTCAGTTGTACATTAGTCATCATGCCTCTATGATGATTAGACAAAACTACATAAATCATAACACAGTACTGTGGAAAATACAAGTATCTTCACTCTCACTAAAAACTGAGATGTGCATCAAAAAAATTATTCACAGAATTTATTCTCAAAATTAAGTTAAAACAATTTGCAATGATGTTCTCACAGAAATTCTACAAAAGTACAGTACATACAAATTTATATTAGCTCCAAATAACAGGGTACCTAAGCACTTTACAAAGAAACAATAAAATGTAAACAAAATTGTTCTATATACGTACTAGTCTTGTAAAACTCTTGACAAAGTATGGAAATCAGGTAAACAGTACATGTACACTTGCCTGGTAATTCCTACAATGTAAAAATAGGAGACCTTAATAACTGTACCAAATCTTAAACATGCTTATCATTAAACAATGGAAGAAAAGACATTTAAGTTTTAAAATATGTATTGTTTAAAAAAACAGTTATGAGATGACACCCCAAAATTTATTTATCCTGAGCCTTCATTCATAAGCTGAAAATTAAAGAGCAATACTGTTTTTTTAGTTTTCAAGCTATAATATCATATAAAAATTATTATGCTAAGTTTGGTATAATTTACAATGGGCATACAAATTTCTTCTCCACCATTGTATCATAGCCTTTAGTTAAATGATTATTTTAATGACAGCATTTTTTACAAGTAACAAACATATTATTGGCTAAAATGTAATATAAATTTTATACAGAAATGGATGATTACTTAATGCTTTACCTATAGCTCAGTGCTAGAGCATTTGACTCGCATCCGAAAAGAAATGCATTCGATCCTGGGTGGTGCTAAATATTGTTTGCACCCATTGCCAATGGTCACCTAGCAGTAAATAAATACCTAGCAGTTAGCCAACTGTTTAGAGTTCCATCCTAGAGGAAGACTTAAGGACCCCAATGAAAATGAGCCACACTGCTTGGCTTGCTTGGGCCATCCTAGGTTATTAACCTTCCTGGGTTAATACTTATGAGTATGTTAGATAGATATGAGTAGAGGCACATGGTATTTACGACTCTATGTTCTGTTGGAATATGAGCAAGGTAACATTTATGAAGGGAGAGGAAACTGGCAAGACAGATTTGAGTCCTAGAGGTGGGAAGTACAGTGCCTGAATTCTGAAGGCGGAGTAGGAATGTTGCAGTTCAGAACGCCGTCTGAACTGTGATGTCAACACACTTCTGGCAAGACAGTGATTGAAGGAGTGCCAGTGAAAGTATTTTTTTTTTTCCTTATGTATGTGGGAGGTGGCCAGTGTTACAAAAAAAAAGGCTGAGAAAACAAACATAGCACCTCCGATCCAAATCCCTGAACATCATGAAGACTGCTGTTGTCAAACAAAATGTAGAAATTAATGTTAAAAATTTGGCATTGCAGTATTTACTAGTAATTATTGTTGTAAACAACATCTAGGTCATTATTGTTCTTTTAGGTGAGTTTGTGAAACCCAATAATCTTGTAAATAGTTATGTTGTACTGTACTGCATTAAAATTATTATTATTATTATTATTATTATTATTATATTCATGGGGAAATGAGATATCTGTCAATCATACAGCACACTGAGTGGCATTCTGTGTCTTTCAGTGTTCTGATTACACTGATAAGTATTGTAGCCATTCTTTTTTTTTTTTTTTGGTGTGGGGGGGGGGGGGAACTAGGTCTAGCTTGTAATTTTCATAGTCATATTTTTTGGTTAATGGATATTACTATGCTTTTTGTGAGTCATGGGAAATCCAGTCCTTTTTGTTATTGCTATATGTTTTGTTTCCAGTACAGTGCTTTGTACAGATCTTTTGTTTTACTGAGTTAAGGTAAAACATGTCTAGTGCTATACATTGTGTTACACAGAAGGGCCAGATGAAGAACCTCTCAGCCATGAATATTCAACTAAGTGGTTCATCCAGATACCACATCAATTGAAATACATCAAAACCTTTGCCCCTAAAGCATTTAATATGTTTGGTGAAGGACCCCCCAAATATACCAGAAGGAATAAATATAAAATGGTCAGTCTAGAGAGGCAATATCATGTTGGGCTGCATTTCAAGTAATATAAGATAACTTTAAAAAATGTAGAGGAAATATGTCTCCCACAAAATGCAGAAACAAAACACAGTAAGCAACTACTGGAGTATGAAAATTTAAGAAATTTTACTCGTATAAAAAAAGTCAATTGTGACACACAAGAAGAGCCAATGCTGGCCCAAGTCCACTGACAGCACAAAACAAGAGTGCCTAGACTACAACTGTGCCAAAGATCATGCTAACAACAGGTCAGGGACCTCAACAGAAGTACTGCCACTTGGCATACAAGTCGTTATAAGAGAATGTGCCGTTGGGGTTGGGGACCCCCTACGGAGGCACTGCCACAAGTCATATAGGTCATGAAGGAATGGCACTGTGGGAGCAGTGGCCCTTGGTAAAGGCACCACTGCAGGTTATGATAATGAAGAATTATGAAAGGTTATGGAGGATGCAATGTGGAGGTGATGGCCCACCCAGATGGATGCCCTGCCACAAGTCATGGGTCATAAAAGGTCAAGTAGGTTCATTAAGGTCATATAGGGTCATGAGCTGTATTGCAGTTCATAAAGACACAAACAGTAGGTGAAAAACTTAAATAAAGTTTCCAATTAATTCTTAAGTGTCTCCATCAAGTACAATTTGTCAGTATTCCCATACCATCTGCCATTATGTGAAGGTCATGTAGGGCGATAGTCATGTAGGATGATGGTCATGTAAGGTCATGGTCATGTAGAGACATGCATGTAGAGCCATGCACGTCATGTAGGATCATGAATGTCATGTAGGTTGATGGTCATGTAGGGTGATGATTATGTAATGGGTCATGGTCATGTAGGGTCGTGATAGTCACGTACGGTCATGTAGAGTTATGATCGTCATGAGCATCATGATCATGAGGGAGTCATGAATTTCATGAAGTCATGAATATATGTAAGGTCATGAATGTAATGTAGGGTTATAATGGCTACGTAGGATTCTGATGGTCATGTAGGGGTATGATGGTCATGTAGGGTTATGATGGTCATGTAGGGTTATGATGGTCATGTAGGGGTTTTGATGGTCAAGTAGGGTTATGATGGTCATGTAGGGTTATGATGGTCATGTAGGGTTATGATGGTCATGTAGGGTTATGATGGTCATGTAGGGTTATGATGGTCATGTAGGGTTATGATGGTCACAGTGTTACGATGGTCATGTAGGGTTATGATGGTCACGTAGTGTTATGATGGTCATGTAGGGTTATGATGGTCATATAGCATTATGATGGTCATGTAGGGTTATGATGGTCATGTAGGGTTATGATGGTCATGTAGGGTTATGATGGTCATGTAGGGTTATGATGGTCATGTAGGGTTATGATGGTCACATAGTGTTATGATGGTCATGTAGGGTTATGATGGTCACGTAGTGTTATGATGGTCATGTAGGGTTATGATGGTCACGTAGTGTTATAATGGTAATGTAGGGTTATGGTGGTAATGTAGGGTTATGATGGTCACGTAGTGTTATGATGGTCATGTAGGGTTATGATGGTCACGTAGTGTTATGATGGTAATGTAGGGTTATGGTGGTAATGTAGGGTTATGATGGTCATGTAGGGTTATGATGGTAATGTAGGGTTATGATGGTCACATAGGGTTATGAGGGTAATGTAGGGTTATGATGGTCATGTAGGGTTATGATGGTCACATAGGGTTATGATGGTAATGTAGGGTTATGATGGTCATGTAGGGTTATGATGGTAATGTAGGGTTATGGTGGTAATGTAGGGTTATGGTGGTAATGTAGGGTTATGATAGTCATGTAGGGTTATGATGGTAATGTAGGGTTATGCTGGTAATGTAGGGTTATGATGGTAATGTAGGGTTATGGTGGTAATGTAGGGTTATGATGGTCCCTGTAGGGTTATGATGGTAATGTAGGGTTATGATGGTCATGTAGTGTTGTGATGGGAATGTAGGGTTATGGTGGTAATGTAGGGTTATGATGGTAATGTAGGGTTATGATGGTAATTTAGGGTAATGGTGGTAATGTAGGGTTATGATGGTCATGTAGGGTTATGATGGTAATGTAGGGTTATGATGGTCATGTAGGATTATGATGGTAATGTAGGGTTATGATGGTAATGTAGGGTTATGATGGTCATGTAGGTTATGGTGGTAATGTAGGGTTATGAAAGGTAATGTAGTGTTATGATGGTAAAAGTAGGGTATGATGGTCATGTAGGGTTATGGTGGTAATGTAGGGTTATGATGGTCCCTGTAGGGTTATGATGGTCATGTAGGGTTATGATGGTCATGTAGGGTTATGGTGGTAATGTAGGGTTATGATGATCATGTAGGGTTATGGTTGTAATGTAGGGTTATGATGGTCACGTAGGGTTATGATGGTCATGTAGGGTTATGATGGTCATGTAGGGTTATGATGGTCATGTAGGGTTATGATGGTCATGTAGGGTTATGATGGTCATGTAGGGTTATGGTGGTAATGTAGGGTTATGATGGTAATGTAGTGTTATGATGGTCATGTAGGGTTATGATGGTCATGTAGGATTATGATGGTCATGTAGGGTTATGATGGTCATGTAGGGTTATGATGGTCATGTAGTGTTATGATGGTCATGTAGGGTTATGGTAGTAATGTAGGGTTATGATGGTCATGTAGGGTTATGGTGGTAATGTAGGGTTATGATGGTCACGTAGTGTTATGATGGTCATGTAGGGTTATGGTGGTAATGTAGGGTTATGATGGTCATGTAGGGTTATGATGGCAATGTAGGGTTATGATGGTCATGTAGGGTTATGATGGTCATGTAGGGTTATGATGGGCATGTAGGGTTATGATGGTCATGTAGGGTTATGGTGGTAATGTAGGGGTTATGATGGTAATGTAGTGTTATGATGGTTATGTAGGGTTATGATGGTCATGTAGGGTTATGTTGGTAATGTAGGGTTATGATGGTCATGTAGTGTTATGATGGTCATGTAGGGTTATGGTGGTAATGTAGGATTTTTTTGATTGTCATGTAGGGTTATGATGGCAATGTAGGGTTATGATGGTCATGTAGGGTTATGATGGTCATGTAGGGTTATGATGGGCATGTAGGGTTATGATGGTCATGTAGGGTTATGGTGGTAATGCAGGGTTATGATGGTAATGTAGTGTTATGATGGTTATGTAGGGTTATGATGGTCATGTAGGGTTATGATGGTTATGTAGGGTTATGATGGTCATGTAGGGTTATGATGGTCATGTAGGGTTATGATGGTCATGTAGGGTTATGATGGTAATGTAGGGTTATGATGGTCATGTAGGGTTATGATGGTCATGTAGTGTTATGATGGTCATGTAGGGTTATGATGGTCATGTAGTGTTATGATGGTCATGTAGGGTTATGATGGTCATGTAGGGTTATGATGGTAATGTAGGGTTATGATGGTCATGTAGGGTTATGATGGTAATGTAGTGTTATGATGGTAATGTAGTGTTATGATGGTCATGTAGGGTTATGATGGTCATGTAGGGTTATGATGGTCATGTAGGGTTATGATGGTCATGTAGGGTTATGATGGTCATGTAGGGTTATGATGGTCATGTAGTGCTATGATGGTCACGTAGTGTTATGATGGTCATGTAGGGTTATGATGGCAATGTAGTGTTATGATGGTCATGTAGGGTTATGATGGTAATGTAGTGTTATGATGGTAATGTAGTGTTATGATGGTCATGTAGGGTTATGATGGCAATGTAGTGTTATGATGGTCATGTAGGGTTATGATGGTAATGTAGTGTTATGATGGTCATGTAGGGTTATGATGGTCATGTAGGGTTATGATGGTCATGTAGTGCTATGATGGTCACGTAGTGTTATGATGGTCATGTAGGGTTATAACCACCACATAGCGTCATGAAGGTCATGTAGGTCACTCAGGCAGCATGACGCACCGTGGGGGTCGGGGTCAGCCTCCACATCGTTGCTCTCATCGTCCCAGCCAGAGGTCCAAGCTGAGGGTCTCTCCGGCTCCTCCAGCTCCTCCTCCTCGCCTCCCACACTACACGTGGCGGCCTCCTCCTCCTCGCCTCCCACGCTACACGTGGCCTCCTCTTCGTCACTCATCAGCTCAAATATCCCAGTCACCTCTAGACATTATTCTTACCACGAGATAACAAGAGTCCTCACAGCTCAGCCGTCAACATGCCAACCAACAAACATCAAAACAAACATCAGCTGTTCCCTCCAACATTCACTCTCAACGAAATTATTAAACTTAATAATAATAATATTAATAATAATAAATATTTCTTTTCTGTAGTATACATTTAATGTAGTTTACATGTAGTAAAGTATTGTTAGGTAAAAAAGACAGCCGCTAATATGCGGTGCATTTCGGGCAGATTGATCCTAATACTCGATGATTATTTAATATATAATAATAAAAGTTAAAAATTAAACATTAAAAATTAGTACATTATTCGCATTAATAATATTATTTGTTGTATATTTCATATTAATTGATGTGTTTAACCCCAGTGATGTTATTAACGCATTGTCGAAACTGCTGACATATATACATACAAAATAAATATATATTTAATAATAAATGTTATGTATGTAATATACTGATTGGTGTATTGCACAGTAATGAAAATATTGAATACAAACATTGTTAACTTAATATTAGGTAGATTAATGTGTTGATTTTAATCTCATCACCGCGATCTAATTCCCTATTTTATTTTCTTAACAAAAATGGTGTATATCCATTATTAGGCTAACAAGAAGTATACATGTAGTAGTGTTATGGATTTATATCTCGAAATAAAATCGTTAATTTCTGTAAATTCATTTTTAGCACGCTCAGACACACCAATAACCTTATAAGAACCAGTCTACTTCTACCATTACACAGTTATGTTATATATGAAATGGTTATAATCATATAGCCATAATTTCTAAAGGGTTGGAGGGATAAGCCAGTGGAAAGACTCGGTCAGATGACTAAAAGCTGCAGTTGTGGGTCATCATCTGACTAAGACCCGCGTCAAGAAACACTTGTTCTGTTTCCTGACAAACCTAACCTAACCTAACTTAAACTAACCTAACCTAACTTAAACTAACCTAACCTAACTTAAACTAACCTAACCTAACTTAAACTAACCTAACCTAACTTAAACTAACCTAACTTAAACTAACCTAACCTAGCCTAAACTAAACTAAACTAACATAACCTGACTAAACCTAACCTAACCTAACCTGACTTAACCTAACCTAACCTAACCTAACCTAACCATAACCTAACCTAACCTAACCTAACTTAAACTAACCTAACCTAACTTAAACTAACCTAACCTAACCTAGCCTAACCTAACTTAACTTAAACTAACCTAACCTAACAAACTAACCAAAACTAAACTAACCTGACTTAACCTAACCTAGCCTAACTTAAACTAACCTAACCTAACCTAACCTAACTTAAAACTAACCTAACCTAACCTAACTTAAACTAACCTAACCTAGCCTAAACTAAACTAACATAACCTGACTTAACCTAACCTAACCTAACCTGACTTAACCTAACCTAACCTAACCTAACCTAACCTAACTTAAACTAACCTAACCTAACTTAAACTAACCTAACCTAACCTAGCCTAACCTAACTTAACTTAAACTAACCTAACCTAACAAACTAACCTAACCTAACCTAAACTAAACTAACCTGACTTAACCTAACCTAGCCTAACTTAAACTAACCTAACCTAACCTAACTTAAACTAACCTAACCTAACCTAACTTAAACTAACCTAACCTAACCTAACCTAGCCTAACCTAACCTAACTTAACTTAACTTAAACTAACCTAACCTAACTTAAACTAACCTAACCTAACCTAAACTAAACTAACCTGACTTAACCTAACCTAGCCTAACTTAAACTAACCTAACCTAACCTAAACTAACCTAACCTAACCTAATTTAACCTAACCTAACCTAACTTAAACTAACCTAACTTAACCTAACCTAACTTAAACTAACCTAACCTAACCTAAACTAACCTAACCTAACCTAATTTAACCTAACCTAACCTAACTTAAACTAACCTAACTTAACCTAACCTAGCTTAAACTAACCTAACCTAAACTAAACTAACCTAAAATAAACTAACCTAACCTAATCTAATCTAAACTAAACTAAACTAACCTAACCTAACTTAACCTAACCTAACTTAAACTAACCTAACCTAACCTAACCTAACCTAACCTAACCTAAACTAAACTAAACTAACCTACCCTAACTTAACCTAACCTAACTTAAACTAAACTAACCTAACCTAACCTAACCTAAACTAACCTAACCTAACTTAACCTAACTTAAACTAACTTAACCTAACCTAACCTGAACTAAACTAACTCACTGTACAGAACTAAGAACTTGCTTACCAGCTCTTACAATTGATTCATTTATTTAATTCATGAACATATCCTATTCATCAGGTCATGACTCAGGTCTTCACCTCACTTTTCACCTGCCCACACGGAATATATTTAAAAAAAAAAACAGTAGCTCTGAAAACTGGACAATCACAAAACTCATTCTTCACTCACCTCAGAATCCATCAATTCTAAGTATATATCAACTATGTTAGTAAATTGCCTAAGTTACACGATTGATTTCTATTTCAATAGCTATGCTGATAATTAATAAGATATTACAAGAACCCAAGTGGAAATGTGTCACTCTGTCTGACCTTTTTTTTAAGTTATCCTTGGTAATTTACACATATATTACTGCTTAACACCATTTACGAGATATTAAATTATTTGTAATACTAAAAATTAAAAAAAGTACAACTTAGCACAATTCGGAAATGGGCGAATCTACAAACATTATCTCTCAGGTTAGTTTAGGTTAGGTAAGGATTCGAACCTGCACACTCCTCATCAGTACTTTATCGACCTGCACACGTTGATGCAGACTGTGTGCAGGTTCGAGTCCTGCTGTGGACTGAGAGATAATGTTTGTGCTATCTGTTACTATGTATGATAACTGTAATTACCTAAACTTGTGTAAGTGGGCCAAAATAAACTTAACTCCTTACTTTCATTAAGTTTAATTGTGCCGCCTAATCGACTAATTTATTGTAGACCCCTAGTTTATCACTGGTGAATTAGGTAGACAAGCATTAAATAAAGAGAATGATGAGAATAACTTTGTTTTTCTTTGCAAACAGAAGCTTACGAAACATTGTCAGAAGGGAACTAGCAAACGAGCTTCAAGAAAGTAGAACAACACAGATAGAAACTAGCAGATCCATTACCCATTTTAATGAAATGCTCCAAGTTTAAACATATCTATGGAGAAAATAACAAGGTCAGGAGAGTGCAAGATGTTGTTAATACGAGAGTAAATGAGCTATAGAACATCATACGGCTTTATTCCAGAGCCGACATGTGTACTTTAGTACAGTCTTCTTTTCTTGCTTCAAGGTTAACATGAATAATTTGAGAGCGCCTCCCTACTTATAGTTCAACGCTGGTGAACTATAAGCAGGGGAAGGTTCAAACTATTGGCATGTGCAGGGTTTAAACCCGTCCATAATTGGCTTGCCAGGTATTTACACCCCATCAAAACTCTTTGAAAGGGTTATAGTAAGTAAATTTATTCAGGTATACACAAATACAGTTACATAGAATTATCATACATAGCAGCATATGTGTAGAGAACCTGGGATAACCCAAAAAAGTCAGACAGAGTGACTTATTTCCATTGGGGTCCTTTTACCTTATTATTATAATGTAAAGGTTATAATATTTTCTTATTATTCTATAATGAAGATAACATCTTATTATCATACTAAAAAGACTATCTACTACACGAGGGTCATTACTAGGAATAAGGTAAAATTTACACGTATGTTAGCTAAAAAATAGAGAATCATTCCCCTCCCTTTCTGTAGCTATATTCATCAGACACCTTTTGGCACTCTTCTTGAACTGGTTCATGCTATGACTGGTTCTAAGAAGCAAGATCGCCACCCATCTAAATACCCGTCAGGTACAAAACCCAGGCAACATGGATTTAGAGCAGGTCACTCCTGTCTGTCCCAACTACTGGACTACTATGACAAGGTCCTGGATGCTCTATAAGACAAACAAAATGCAGATGTAATATACACAGACTTTACAAAAGCCTTTGACAAGTGTGACCATGGTGAAATTGCGAAGAAAATGCGTGATAAAGGAACAACACGAAAAGTTGGTAGGTGGTTCGATAGTTTCCAAACAAACAGAACACAAAGAGTAGTAGTAAACAGAGTAAAGTCTGAGGCGGCTACGATGAACTGTTCCACAAGGCACAGTACTCGCTCCCATCTTGTTCCTCATCCTCATATCTGACACAGACAGGGATGTAAGCCACCTGAATTTGCACGACAGTGTCCTCCATTGAAGACACTGCAAGACTCCAGGCGGACATCAATTAAATCTTTAAATGGGCCGCAGAAAACAATATGAAGTTCAATGAATCTCCGATATAGATAACGTGAGGAAATTAAAACTATATTGGAGTATAAAACAAATTCCAACCACACAATAGAGCGAAAAACTAATGCAAAAGACCTGAGAGTGATCATGTCAGATGATCTCATCTTCAAAAACCATAACATTGTATCAATCGCATCTGCTTGAAAAATGACAGGATGGATAATGAGAACCTTCAAAACTAGGGATGCCAAGCCCATGATGATACTCTTCAGGTCGCTTGTTCTATCTAGGCTGGAATATTGCTGCACACTAACAGCACCTTTCAAGGTAGATGAAACTGCCTTGAATGGTGCTGCGTACAGAGAATCTTCACGGCACACACGACTGCGATAAAACAATTCAATTACTGGGAACGTTTGAAGTTCTTCAACCTGTACCCTCTAGAATGCAAGCGGGAGAGATACGTGATTATATACACTTGGAAAATCCTAGAGGTGTTAGTACCAATCTTGCACACGAAAATCACTCCATATGAAAGCAAAAGACTCGGCAGACGATGCAATATCCCCCCAATGAAAAGCAGGGGTGCCACTAGCACGATAAGAGACAACACAATAAGTGTCTGGGGCCCAAGACTGCTCAACTGCCTCCCAGCATACATAAGGGGGATTACCAATATACCCCTGGCTGTCTTCAAGAAGGCACTGGACAGGCACCTAAAGTCAGTACCTGACCAGCCGGGCTGTGGT